AAATGGTAACTGCAAGAATGTAACCCAAACCAGGACATAAAGAGAATCCTCTGTGGTCTTAAAGCTTGGCGTCCACTTAAAGACACGCATAGATGCCCCTCGCACTATCCATAGACCACATATGATACAACTTATTTATAAGTTGTAACATACTAGAACTTCAATCTTTATTGCATATCAGAACTTCAATTTTTATTGATAATGTGTAACGAAATCCCTTCTTTAGTTTACGAAGAATGAAGAACATGTGTAATATAAAGTATTATATTTATTGTTAAAAAGTACATTTTTCTACCTATATGCATTGATTAATCGGATGTTCCCATATGCACATACACTGTAAAAAAATCTCTGTTTCAACATAAACTAGGTGCATTTCCGCGAGCTCACGGAAACACACCATGTTTCCCCTGAAAACAAGTAATTTTTTTTTTTTTAAAAAAATATTTCTAAGTAGAACCAATTCATCAATGCATATTGATGACTCCAAATATGACCATATTTTTAGCTTGACAAAACTGTGTATTACTTGAATTTCTGTATAAAAACCATCATAATAACTTATCAATGGCATACATTATTGATCTATATCGCTTGGAATGATCCAGAGTTCGTTGTTGAGATTATTAACGATTTTTGCCCTTTTTAAGTGGTTTTTCGTTGCCAGACAAGCTAAAGCAAACGCCAGAAATGATAGCCACCTCGCTCACAAACGATCATTGCATCACCTAGAAAAGACCAAGGCAAGAGAGACAAGCGGTAGCTTCCACCGCTCGGAAGCGACAGTCTCTCCCGGTTGCAAGCGACGGCCCATATGCCCACCGCTGCAGAATGACAGCAAATATTGACTAAGTGTTCCAGCTGCAGCGGTACAACCATTCCATTTTCAGCCAGCATAAGCAATCCTAGCTGCGCTGATGCCCCCCAGCCCTCCGGCAAGCGAGGAAGATCTGAACCCTTACTATCCTATGCAAGCGAAACGGGCACTTTAGGAGTTATGGCCAGCAACTGCTCCAACATAATAACTGCCATCAACCACTTAACTGTCTAGCAGTTGGAACTGCTTTATAACTGGTTGCAACCATTCCTTTTCACCTACTATAAATAGGGTCATATATCTCTATGTAAATATACTTCGATTGGAGTATATTAGCGATTAATTTCCTGCGCATTCTAGCTGTCTTCATGTTCTTCGAGAGCTCTAAACCTGTAAGGGAGTTTTCCACAGGAATGGCCAAGGGAGAAGCCCTTGGCCAAGACTTTACCGCTTACTAAGAGTAGCTTACTGCTTTCAATTACAGCTTTGTAGTTCTAGCATTTCCAGCTTTATTAGTAAATAATGAAATATCATTCAGGCTTTCATCTATATTTCTTTCACATTCTCTTCACACTTATATAAAATTTGAATTTAAAGAATTTTATTTCACTGGTTTAGAGCATAAGAAGAATTGATTATCTAAGCTTTGTCTTTTGCCAAAAGTGTTTTCAAGGTAGTTTAATGTAGTTAAGTACGCGAGAGCCTTGTCGACCTGCTTAACTACTATTTTGAATTCAATTCTGATGAAAAAGAGGTAACAGAAGGGTAAAGCCACTAATAAGGCAGAATTTTGGATAATTCACGGGATATAGACGGTGGTCTATTAGGTCACAAAAACTCCTAGTGACAGTAAGGTTTCTTTCTTATAATAGTCAAATTCTGGGTGTCATTGAAGTCTTGTGGTAAATCTCTCAAGGTCAAATTCCAGTGTTAAGAATTCTTTATAATTCAGTTTATATATTTACATTATCTCATTCCCCCACTTCGTATTATACATATACCTCTGTTAACACACTTACACCGCTCGCTCATTACATCCAGGAAAACCTAGCCATTAAGTAACACACAAGTCAGACACAACACCTCTCCCTCACTCTCCACCACTTACATATATATATATACATATTGTGCCATCCGCTCATGTCCCGTTCACTCGATAATCGCCATCTGCTCACTTCTCGTTCACTCGATTACCGCTGGCACTTCACCACTCGTCTCCGCTCCGCTCACCTCCGCTCACTTTTACCGCTCATATTTACCGCTTTCCATAGAGTAGAATTTTGAATCTGCTGCAGAGCGGGTCCTTTGATGCATTTTTCGCCCTTTTTTCAAGATCTACACTTGGCTTGAAATTCATGACTTAAAATCCCTGTGTTCGACCTGAAAACTCACCAGTAAAAAGAGTATAAATAATTTTGATAACTACTCAGGGTCTATAACCACAATCTTTTACTATATCTGACCGCTTTTTATAGTCATTCGTTCACTGATTTCCGAAAATAAATCCCCTATGAAAATGTACAAATTACGTTCCAACAAATTTTAGTTATCACATATACAGTTGTGAACCAAATCGTATATAATGTATATAGAATTTTGAACCAAAACATGTATAATGCATATAGATAAAAAAAAAAAAAAAATACACTCAATTAAATTTTGAACCCCAGAGCACATACCCCGCAAATTATTAAAAAAATTCCTTACATTTGAATATCATATTTCAAGTCAATTAGGTGTTCATAATCCTATAACACCTTCTCCCCACCTTTAACGATACACATGAAAAAAAAAAAAAAAAAAACTATTTTCTACATGTAGCATTTGTGGATCAAGTTAAGAGAGTCGAATCGGTTCGAAAGACAGTACCTACAATGGAGAAAGACAGTACCTACTCAAACCAAAATGATACATACATAGGAATCAATGTGCACTTGTGTCTTCCCAAACCTATAACTGCGCTAGAAGAAACATGTACTTTACGATCAAAGCTGTATTTTATGTATGTCGGCACCGTATTCCGATATAACTATACATGAACTTCAACAAAGAGCACATACCCGACAAATTATAAGAAAAATCGCTTACATTTGAAAGTCATATTTCTAGCAAATTGGACATTCACAATCCTATAACACCTTCGTGGCCACCTTTAACGAGACACATAGACATAAACTATTATTTTTACATGTAACATTGGTGGATCAAATTAAGGGAGTCGAAACGACTCAAAAAATGGCATGCGAAGGGTTGTACCTACAATGGGAAAGACAATACCTTCTTAAGCCCAAAGTGATATCTACGTACGAATCAACGTGCATTTGTGTCTTCCTAAACCTATACCTGTTTTAGGAGAAATGTATACTTTAACTTGAAATTTATTGTTTAAACATGTTCTGTTTCCGCTAAAAAGGCATGGCTAGACTAAAAAACCTATTGGTTTTCGCGGAAACAGTCTATATTTCCACGAGTTCACTGAAACATGCATTGTTTCCTTGAAAACCAGCATAATTCGAGCCTTATGTTACATGTTTTGTTTGTAAAATCATATTTTTAGCACCTAATATTATATATTTTAGCAAATTCGATGACAAAAGTTTTTTGCGAATAGTGCTTAACCAAATTTAAACATAAATAAAGGAGACAAATAATATGCATTTAATATTTAATCAACAAAAATAGAGTATTTACAAGATAAATAATAATATATGCTACAATACCAGTTCACACAATTTGACTCGACTAACAAAATTTAGCCGCACTAAGAATATATTTCGCAATGATTGTCTGATAATCATTAACGACAACTATTTCTTGTACTTTCCTCATCGTATTTTCAATTTCGTGTACATAACACTTGGCCCACAAGCACACTAAAGTTTCACATTCCATTGATCACGTGGCTTGTTGGCGCGAAAACACAAAAATCGGTTTGAGAGTGACTAGTCGGTAGTCCAATGTATGTATCAAGTAGCTATACAAAAATTTGGCCGACATAACAAATATAATCCTTAGGAATTGATATATTTTGACTCAAAAATAGAATGTAAAATAATACAAAATTTAAAACACGCTTATTTTTTTTATGGGAGCCATTGTGGAGAATGCTCCAGCACGACAGACGGCGAACGGTGGGCAGTAGCAGTCAGACGGTCAAGTTCGATCGAATAATAAGGCAGGATGGTAAATCGAAATACAAATTAAGTTAAAGTTGAAGACAAAAAAATAGAATTGGGTGATTGGATTTTAAAACGAGTTTGATAATTTTGTAAATTTGTAAACAATAGAGGGAAAGAAATATAAATATATGTATAGAAAGTTTGAGGGAAAGATAAAAAATAGAGGGTTTGAGAAAAGTTTCTAAGAGCTCAGGAATTTATCCACAATTTACAGTTATTTTAATATATTTTATTTTTATAAATTTAAAAGAATTAATTATTATATATAATTAATTATATTTATAAAATATATAAATTAAATCAAAATAGAATACATAAGTATTATTATTTTTATTTTTATATATAATTTTATATTAAAAACAAATAAAATAAAATAAATTTATTAAAAATTAAAAATATAATAAATTAATCAAATAATCAATAATAAATTAGTTAGTCTAAGAGTTTTCGATATTTTGTCATTTGATTTTTGTATAAAAATTATATATACAATGATATGTTTAATTTAAGTAAAAATTAAATATTTTTAATACTAAGTATGATTATTTTTTCTAAAAGATATTTTGAACTGAAATAGACAAAAAAAAATAAAAATGATAAAATAATTGTACTTTGAACTGAAAATAATGAATATAAATTATCAATATAAAAATATTCATAATTTTAGATAAAAATATAGGAGAATTATTTTTCTCAAGAGATAATCAAAATAAATATTTTATAACATTTTCATAATTTCAAATAATTAATAACAAAATTTTAAATTCATATAAACACAATTAAAGATCTTAAAAAATAAAATATAAATATCCACACAATTGTATTTTACATACTAATATCAAACCATCTAATTGAATATTGAATGAGCTACCCAAAATTGAAACCGAACAATGTAAACTCGACTTCGGTTCGGTCTATAGCTGTTCCGGTTTGGTCCGAAACTGCCGGTTCGAGACCGGTTGGGCAAGTCATCTAATTTCCGTTGGTTTAATTAATGTGAGCATATTTATAAGGATTAGTTGGACGACGGCTACTCGCCGGCGACAGTCACCTTTCTCAATTTTCACCTTCGGACGAATGAGGTAGCGGCAGTGATCCAAATGGGAGGAAACGGGAGGCTGAAGTGCAGGCTATGGTGGCCAACGAACGTCTCTTCTCAAACTCAACTCCATTCCAGTTTTTTGTTTGGCTGGATTTTTCCCTCTTCCGTAGCCTCAATCGATGTGGTTGTAGCTTTTACTTGCCAAGACTCCGGACGAACTTCATCGATCGATTCACGCTTGGATCTACAGGTGCAATAGTTTTCCTTCCGGAAATGTTAAATGTATTGCGGCTTTTGGTGTTTGATGGGTTTAGATTAGATTCTGTTGTGTTTAATTAGGATTTCTGTGGTTCAAAACCCTAAGAATTTGTGTTAATGCTGGGGTGTGTTTTGTTGGTTGGATAAGTAGGGAAACGAATTCTTATCACGTAAAACTGGAGTCCACAATGATGGCTAGGTTTCGTTGTTGGGCATTAATTACCCGAATCTATATAAGTTGGTGATGCTATTTAACTTAATCTATTGCATAAATTATTCGATACTTTCCTTGAATCTACCCAAGTGGCCAGCGAGATAAATAAAGATAGGAAAGCTTGGAGATCATAGTTTAATTGGTTCTACACAATTTTAATCAGTCTTAGAGAAGCTACGAAATGCTATCATGTAGAATTGATTTATGTTCTAAGGCCATCCTAAGACACCTAGGCGATGGCTGATTGCATCTTTCATGATATAGAACAGAGGCAGTATGTATAAATGAATTGAAAAAATGCATGTGTAATTGATTTTTGTTTGACCTTTAACTTGTATGGTATCTGATTTCTTTTGATTTAGGAAATCTTCCCGAGGATAAACAAAAACATGCCTACACATCTTCAAGACAAAAGTAAATTCTCTCTGCTAGGATATATTGAAGCAGATCAGATGGCCAGTAATCAGTTGTTTAGATGTGGAAATGATAAAAACAATTGCCATGACTTAACTAGTAATAAACATTTAAATGAATGTGCAATTAGTCATGAGAGCTGGATTTGTGGATGCCCCAAATATAATGCAATATCAGAGCAAGGTGGTATTTCTGCTCCAGAAAACATGTGGATCAAGCTTCTGTGTGGTCTTTCTGAAAGTGTAACTAGAGGAGTCATTGCCGTCCCTAAATTGGATCATTTGCATTGGAATAGTGAGGCAATAACTGAACTGGATCTCCACGTATGTAAGTGCTCTTTGCCTCTGTGTATTGTTGTTTTGCTTCCATATGTCACTTTGTGTATCTTTAACTTGGATTTCTTGTAAATCTAGGTAGTATTTTATGACATGCCCACTTTTGGCCACCATCATTACTCAATGGGTATATACAGGTTATCCAACAATGTTAAATCTCCTTGCAAGAAACCCAGGTGGTTTTACAATCTTCAGCAAAAAGATGCACTTATTGACTTGGTATGTATTGTTAATTGAAATATATCACACTCATATTATATTATCTTAATTAATTGCTTTCATGTTCTTGTAAAAGGATTCCATTATCCAGGCAATAAACAGTGGTCAAGCTGCAAAACAATTATTTGGGCATCATACTAATGTGCTTAGTCAAAAGTTCCTCATTGTTCACATGTAATTAACAGAACCCTTGCCATATTTTATTTCCGAACTTTCTTCTCACTCTTAGCAGTTAACAGTTGTTTTAATTACTTTGCAGGTTCTATGTCTTCATGTGGCGACTATTATCTGCATCTATCGCTTCACTTTCAACTCTCATTTATACTATTCTTCAATCTTCTCATTTTCTGTTTAGTTGGTTATTCAACACGAATATAGGTATTCTGCTGACAAAATTATTTAGTAATTCATTGAAGAATATCCACTTTCGCTGCTGCCAACTCTTGTATTGGCCTGTTTTTCTCCAGGGTCAGAGTACAAGGTAATTTTAGAACTGGCTTCTTGGATTATGTTTCACTAAATTTGATTTGTTGGAACATTATAATTAAGTTCTTTCAGAAGTACATGCCTCCATGTATTGAATCATGCTTTGCTGTCGTAGCTATTAGTTATGTATGGTTTGAACTAAAGAACTTTAGAACATAATAATCTTGATAACCTTTAAAAAAAAAAAAACAAACAGAACTATAGATGGATACATTGATTAACACAAGTACAACAAGCAAAAAATTGTAGTATACAAGTAAATTCAGCTGTGTTTAGGTGAACATGCCAGAAATGGACAGTACGCTTGATACAAATTTGAAAATGGGTATTCTCAAGTGAATAGGTGCTCTAGGTTTACAATTATCAATTTTTGGTGATTTTTTGTGGTGTTGGTACTTTTGCAAAAATGCAAACAATTAATATTGAAAGATTTTATCATTTTCTCGGCTATTTTTATAGGGATTGGTCATGTGTAGAGTTTGCAGAGAAAGCTGCCCTTGACAAGCACTCAATATGGTCAAATGTTGTTGTTGATGTCCTTCTAGGAAATATATTTGGCATTTCCCTATGGTTTATGGCAGAATCTGCATGCTTGTGGATTTCAAACTTTGCATTTGACTTTACTAACAACTTGCTACGTACTGGATGTGTATGGCTGATGGGAAATCCTGCTGGTTTTAAGTTGAACACTGAGTTAGCAGGAGTTCTTGGTGTGATTTCTCTGAATGCAATTCAGATATGGTCTACACTTTGGATTTTTGTTGGTTCTCTCGTTGTTCACTTCACCAAAGTCCTTGCCATATGTGGGATAGCTTTTGGGCTTACTTCAGCAGCAGCTATAATCATCGACATGATTTCACTTGTGACGATGCATGTCTGGACAATCCATTTATTTCTTTCACTTGTGTATTCAACCCAGATACAAGCAATAGCCTCTCTATGGAGACTTTTCAGGTAACAGATATTTCTAGTCTCCTCATTACATGGCAATTTCCTTGAATAAATTTTTGTGGTGGCTTAAGCTCATTTCTTTTTATAGGAGTTAATTGTTAGCGTAAAGGCCAGGTCTTGCAGTTCACAAGAAAGTCTCACAAATTTCATATTTAGTTCGAAGCTTGTGGGTGTTGTATTATGAAAGCCTATCTTTATCTCTACCTATCCATTGTTTTGTCCATAAATCAGAGTTTTTCTTTTTTCGGGGGTATTAAAATGGTGTCTATATGATTCTGAAAGATCACTGCTGTTCTGCCCATATACTCTCTTCATTTGAACAAAGATAAGGTGTTATAGTACGATCTTTTGCATATATGATGATAAATTACTTTTATCAATTACAGGGGTAAGAAGTGGAATCCTCTACGCCACAGAATGGACAGCTACGATTATACTGTCGAGCAACATGTTGTTGGGTCTCTCATGTTTACCCCAATTTTACTTCTGCTACCTACAATATCAGTTTTCTATATTTTTTTCACCATGTTGCACACATCTGTGAGATTTTTCTGCATACTTATTGAGGCCACCATATCTATCATTCATTCCACTCCATATGCGAAAATCCTCCTTTGGTTGGGGAGAAGGAAGCGATTTCCATCCGGGATATGGTTTGAAGTCATCTCCTGTATTTCTGAGACAGGATCTCTTACTGGCCGTAACGGGATCCTTGAGGAGAAAAAGGCTTCTGCATTCAACAATGGTGAACCCACAATTTTGGTTTCGTTTCTACACAGCAATTACTTGAACTTAGGTAAGAATCCCAACTTGATAGATTTTTTATTTCATGAATTCTACTGAGTCGGAAGGATGAGTTAGGAGAATCCATGGATATCTTTTATTTGAGCGGCAAAAGAAATGATTTTATGGTGCCCTTTTATTTGGTTCAGGAGAGGTAGTGTGGCCACACTACAGCTACTTACTCTCGGCCTTCTCGAGGTCGTCTATTGGGTCGTGCGCTTACGGGCTTCTCACCGGAAGAAGGTAGTCTCCTTTCTTACAATCTAACTGATTTATTTTTAGTTTTTGTTGTTAATTGGATGATCCCTCCTCAATGGTGTTTGTTTGTCTGTCCTGTCCTGTCCACAGAGCTGCTGCCTTAAGTCCTCTGCCTAGTTTCCCTCAGAAGTTGCAATGGATGGCAATGCCATGGAAAGAATATTGGAAACTTTGTTATGATTCAGTATATGGGTGCAGGGGAGAAGATTGGATGAATATTTAATTTAACCAACACATTTGCTATAACCACACTTTAAGTAGTATTAGAATTAGAATTAGAATTAGTAATCCCTTCATTTAATCTGGACTGACTGTCTTTTTGCTTGTTTATTTATCTTTCATGTTCAGATCTTGGGTTTCACTACTAGGTAGTCAGTTTGTAGAGGGTTGGTTCCAAGTTGAAGAAACATTATTATTATTATTATTATTATTATTGTTATTATTAAATCCTACTATTATTATTGCACAACCATCAAAATCAAGTGGATGGTTAAAACATCGCCCCAGTAAACGCGTCAAACAGACGAAACAGTAGAACAGACCACAGATTCGTCCCCGCCGTCAGATTTGGCATCAACGGCCCGCAGCTTTTATGGCGTGGCAGTTATCTATATATGATCTGTCCACCCCGTTATCCCTTTTTGACTGTTTGTTATCATGATCATCATCACGACGTTTCTTTTCTTTTAAGTATTTTATAGTTGAGTTTTAATTTTTAATGTCCTTTTGTAGGTAAACAAATACAATCATTCTTGTCAATTGGACTGACAGCATCCCATGTTGTTATCGGTATTGTATTGTATTGTATTAGACACGGTTTGTATAGTAATTGAGAAATGAATCCTGTGGGATTGTGTGTTCAATGAATGTACCGTACCACCTTACCTATCTCTACCCAATGAAATGAAACCATCTTTCTTCTCTGCTTATGCTTATCGTGTTTTGACTTATATTTTTAATTTAATAATAATCATTCATTGTGGGCACCATGTCCTCTCCTTGCCTGACCTCACCCGACTTAAGGTTGTACGGCTCATAACATTTGTTTAAAAAAATATCTACGGGATTATTATGTGTTGTTTGGTCGGCTTAACCACTTTTTTAAAATTCAAAATTCAAAATCAATAATCGAAATAAATTCATTATTGCATAACTCACAATCTAATCTCAGCTCAGAACATTTCATAATTTAGATCTCTAATTCTACCAAAATTTACTGACTCATTAAATCAAGTGATGAATTCCACAATGATACCAATTTTCAAAATATCCATTGCTATCGGTTAGGGGCAAACAGGGGTTAGTTATTAACATCCTAATTAACCCCTGTCAGCATATTATAATTTAGTAGCATGTATTATGTAAATTATTATTATTTCTTATTAATGGCTATTAGTGTAATAATTTTTTTCATTAGTATTAAAATGGACAAGAAAATATAAAGTCTAGAAATTTCTAGATAGGATCGATCGAGGTTGTGAAGAATGAGGTCTACTCTGTATGGGGTTCCGGGAGTCCAACGTCCATCCACTACGAGTACACGGCTTCAACACGTACTACAGTTCTGGAGTTGAGATCCATGGCCCTGGTAAAACTTTTGACACAAAACCATTAAATTTGTTGTGATAAAATAAAAAAGAAACAATGGCTCATAAATTCAAATCTTCCCTCTCTTTCTCTCTCTACGAAGCTTCCTCGAAGCTCACTAATGGCTTCCCATTTCTCCGCCCATAAAAGCCTCGATTCCGCCTTTCTTCTCCAACAATTTGCAATCTGCATAATTCCGCAACAGAGATTGAATCGATACAGATACTTGTCGCTATGAAATTTGCCAGAATGATCCGCGGGAAGCTTTTCCGGCCGAAGAAATCGAGCTCTATTATTGATCCGCCGGAGTCCTTCAGCTCGCAGATGACGGCATCCTCCACCGCATCGGAGGACGGCGGTTTCAAAAAGGTTAACGGTGCATCGACTCCGACGAGTGTGCTTCCGGCGGAGATATCTCCCGACGAGCTGCCGGAGATCTCAGCCGACGTTTACTTGGAGCTGAAGCAGGCGTTTGAAATGATCGATCGCGACGGCGACGGGAAGATCCGAAAGGAAGAGCTCGAAGGATTGCTCCTCCGGCTCGGCGCCGAGCCGATGAGCAAGGAGGAGCTGAATTCGATGCTGAATGAAGTGGATAGGGATGGGGACGGGTGTATTAGTCTGCAGGAGTTCTACGCTATCGGCTCCGCCTTCGCGCCGGCGGCCGGCGACGGCGAGCTGAGGGAAACATTTGACTTCTTCGACTCCGATCGCGACGGGAAGATTACGGCGGAGGAGCTTTTTAACGTCTTCCGTACTATCGGCGACGCCCGGTGCACGTTAGAGGACTGCCGGCGCATGATAGGAGGCGTGGATAGAAATGGAGATGGGTTCGTCTGCTTCGCGGACTTCAGCCGTATGATGGAGCCGCAGCCACAAGCCTGAATTTAATAACTATATACAGATCGTTTTTAATTATTATTATTATTATTATTCTTTCAATAAATAAATAAATAAATCGAATACTCTTTTGTATTAGCTTGTATATAAATGAGAAACAAATCTGCATTTGTTTGTAATCATTCCATTTGATTATTATTACTCTTTATTTGGTTAGTTTCAACAAAATTTAAATTTAAATTTAAAATGATAATAAGATAACATATTATAAAATGATTCTTTGTAACTTTTTATCTATAAGTTTGTGAATATATTGTCACTGGAACAATACATTTGATATTACTTTCTTGCCAATTAATTTTGAAATATTTTTCTTGAATTCCCTAAAAAATATCTTCTTTAATTAAATGTGGACAAGAACAGAATAGCAAACAAACGAACAAAGACATCAAAACAATCAAACGAATAAGACACGTGGCATCCAATTAATGATTAATTGGACAGACACGGAAACCATAATAAATAAATTACGAATCAAATGTCGGTTTGGCTGAGTTAGGTCATTATTTGTTCCTATTTTCGTCACTCAACAATTGATCATTAGTACCATTCTACGACCAAACTTAATTAATTTATATATTTCATTTTGGTATTACTATCACTCGACATAAACAAGGCCTCAATTATTAGATTCAACTAAAATAAATATAGTTCGAATATTCGACCAAAACACAATACTCCGTTCGTCATTTAAATTTATTCTCACTTTTCTTTTTTGGTGTCATTCAAATTTATTCTCATTTTTTTTTAGTAAAAAAATACCATTTTTTTTTAAAAAAAAATTAAAAATTTCTATTCTTATTTATTTTTCTTAAAACTCGTGCCAGTAAAAATTTCTATTCTTATCTATTTTTCTTAAAATCCGTTCCCAATCAAATGAACACACAATTGGATGACGGAGGAGTACAATACAATAAAATAAGGGAGAGTTGGTCTTCAGCCCTGTCAGTAGTGTTGGATTTAAATTCAGTCCATATTACTAAAAAATTGATCTACACTTTCTCATTTTTAGTATTGGTTTAATTTCAGTATCTATTTTTTATTTTTCCATTAATCAGCCTAGTATATATTTGATGGACCTTTAAAATATATTCAAATATTCTCAATATTATTTTATATACTTATAACACATTTGGCTCTAAATATGCTACATTTCGCTCTAAGTTTTTCCACCGGTAAACTTCTGTTTACATTATGTATACTTTTGTTTGTGTATTTTAAAATAAATAAAATAAAGATAAAAAACAAAAATTACAATTACAATCACATATTATTGTGGAGAAAGACAGAAAATTATACACCTTTTTCGTGCTAAGATGGTAAATAAATCAAATAATTTTGTTTGATTCGATATTTGATTCAAATTTATGATTCGAATTTGAATAGACATATTTTATTAGATTCGAATGGAATACAAATAAAAATTTTAATATTCGATTTCATATTTATAAATATTCAATTCAATAATAAAAAAAATACATACATAGTATAAAATGTAGCATATATATATATATATATTTCTCAAAATAAATAAAAACTAAATTTATTAAGTATAATAACTTTAAAATTTTATATAAATAAATATATAATTATAATTATAATTATAATTATATCATGATATTTATATTTATATTAAAGTACGAAAATCTTTTATGGGTCAATATAAAAAAATAATTAACAGTAAATTTTTGTATTTTATTATCAAGTTGTCTTAATATTATTGTTAAAATTTTTAATTTAAAAATCTAAATCGAATAGTTTTGAATTGAATCTGATAAGAAAAAAATGAATCACATCTTAAATTAAATATTTAATATTGAAATCAAATTGAATACTCGGATCAAATTAAGTAATTTAAAAATTATTTAGAATCGAATACAAATATCATTTTAAAATTCGAAACAAATCGAATAGTCGAATATTTTCACGAATCAATAGAATACTGCAATGTATATGTTTGTTCATACTTGTGTGTTTATGTCCATTTTGGCAATGTATGCCTTTATTAAAGTTGGATTTTATATTTTGACATATTTTAGAGTAAGTGATACTACAGTATATAAATTTTATATGTGGAATTGATGATCTTGATAACTTTAATTGGAATTGATGATCTCAAAAGGCTCAATTTCATCATCTATATTTTTGTCCTTTAAAGCATTTTTACTTTTCAGAATTTTCAATTCTTTTTCACTCATTTCAGCTATTTCTTCAATATCAAATTAAAATGTTCAATATTTTCATTGTTTTGCTCTAGGAGTTAACGATAAACTCTGGAAAGAATTGTACATATCTTTTAAAAAAATTATAAACCAAAATTAGATTCTAATTAATCATAAATAAATATATATAGCGAATAGTAAAATATAAAAATATCAATATAAAATAAATATGTACGAATATTCAAAATAATAAAACTAAAATATTATATTCCACAAAAATTTAATTTAAAATTATTTCAAAGTAAAAAATTATAAATATTATTTTTATTATTTCTAATTAATAGAACGTATAAACAAAAAACAAAGTTTATAATGTATATATAAAAAAAAACAAACTTATAAATTTTCATTTATATTAAATATTAAATTATTTCGTTAAAATTCATTTTAAATAAAACATGATATATCTAAATATAGATAACAACTCTAACTAGGAAATAAAAAATAATCCATATAAAACAAAATTACTAACTACTAACTAAATCACCTATTTAATAAATTAGATAAACAATGCTCTCCAAAAATAATTAGAAAAAAATTAAAGAAATTACACATATAAAATATATTAATACGGATACTACTACTAATGCTCATAATAATAAAAATAATAATAATAATAATAATAATAATAATAATAATAATAAATATAAATAAATAAAATAGGGTAAAACTAAGAAGTAATATCAATATGAGATTTGATGCGTGGTTTGTGGCATGTGATGTTTTGGCTTTAATCTCCTTTGAAAATATACTTAAAAAATTATACTGGTGGAAGTTTAAGGCTATACTCACAGTCAGATTTATAAAAAAGAAAGCAAAATTTTGACATGAGTATAATTCTTGCCACATGGCAAAAAAATATTTATTTTTAGTTCTCTTTTATACACTTTATTTTTATTATATATATATATATTAATAATTTTTATATTTTTATATTTTATAAAATTTTATTCTTTACAAAATGATACCAAGATTGATATATTTTTGTCTAATAAAATTTTAATTAAATATAATCAAATAATAATAATAACAATTTAATTTTCTAATTATCTTATAATTTATTCATTAAATTACACAAATAATTAAAAAATATATAATTACTGAACATGTAATTGATTTTTTTAAAAAAAAAATTAAAGTAATATAAATTAAAACATCGGATGTAAAACTCATTGCAATAATATTAAAATCGACAAACATAACAACATACATAATAACCTAGAAAATAAAATATGAAAATCGACAAACCTAACAACATACATAATGACCTAGAAAATAAAATATGAAAATCAATAAACATAACAATATACATAATAACCTAGAAAATAGAATATTAAAAGTAATGAATATGACAACATAGATAATTAAACAATTGGTTGAATAATTTGGTCTTCAACTTTTTCTCGTCCGCATCCAAATTTTCACCTCTTGCCAACAATATATTAATGTTTCAAACTTTTTTGCTTGAATAAGATTAATATTCTTCTTCATTTTGTCTTTTCTCATATCAGCAATATAACCCAAATGTTTATAACTTTTGCATTTTGAGCTTTCATCTCTTCAAAATCCTCATAAATAATATGTTTTGAATCTTGCTTTTGTACTCGATTTTCCTTATTTTTGCAAGCTTTAACACCAGGGGGACGAATAAAATGTGATTCTTCAAAAGTGTCATTTTGTGGTGTTGGAAGATTTGAACCTGATGAATATCTACCAGCTTCGTTGATTTTGGTTCTCTTCGAACCACCACTACTATCATGAGACGCTCCACTAACAATATTAGTAGCACAATAATTTGTATGTCATTTTAGTTCATGTTTTAACACACGTCGTGTATGCTCATATGTGAAAGGCGTACCACAATCGACACAATATATTTCGTATGCCTTATTTAAGACATAATTATTAGATTGACTACACTGTTTTCTTTGGTCAGCTTGCTCGTAAAAACCAACAAATTTTGAAACAGCTTTATTAATTTTTTGCCAATGATTTTTACATTGATTTGAACTTCTTTGCGTACCTGTATCCAACTTGTCTTCCATATAGTATTCAGATATTCTCTTCCAAAACACAGAACCTTTTTTTTTATTAGTGTTTATTATGGCATCTTTGCTTGTGTTAAAGCCATGCACTGAAAAGAAGTAAATCTTCTTCCTGACTCTATTTGTTTTTTTTTCAACAATTTGCACATCATCAGTTTGTGTGTAAAATTCAAAAATGCCTTTTGGATGTGCATTTCACATTAAATCAGGTGGTGAAGGATATAATGAAATTGCAAATGCTTGAAAGTTTGGCGAGTAAAAATTTGGTGGAATGGAAGAGTAGGGTGAATTATAAAAATTTGGGAGTGTTTGATAATTGAAAGTGAGATTTTGATTTGACGAGTTTTGTGAAAATTCTTGATTTTCAAGCATATTCATAAAACTCGGAAACATAAAAGGATATTGAGGATTTGAGAATTTTGATCCATGATTGAAAAAAAATATATAAAAAATAAAAAAGATAGAGTTGATATAAATAGAATACTCCTATTCATAATACAAATAATTGTACCATCAATTGAATTTTCAAATCACACCAATTTTTTTCATTGAATTTTCACATCACAACAACTTTTGTCATTGAATTTTCACATCACATTTATTTTATTGTACTAGTTTTTTATATAATTATTATATTTATCATTGTAATATCAAATTAATAGTATTTAATTTTTTTAGTTAAAGACACATAAATACAAAAAATTGTACCATAAAATTGAATTTTCACATCACATTAATTTTATTGTACTAGTTTCTTACACAATTTTATATTTATCATTGTAGTATGAAATTAATACTATTTATTTATTTTTATTTACAGACACATGAATATAAAAAATTGTACCATAAAATCGA